GGCCGTGGCCAATCTGGGGTGTGGCCGAGACATCTCGGCCGTGGCCAATCTGGGGTGTGGCCGAGACATCTCGGTCGTGGCGCAACCTTTTTTTTTTTTTTTTCCAGCCGCGGCGCGGTGTGGCACAACCATACGACGGGGAAAAAAAAAAAAAAAAAACCGGAAAAAAAAAGCGATGCTTTTTTTGCCGATTTGAACTTGGACGACGAGGATGTTGCCATTAAGTGTTTTTCTTGCCTATCTGAACTACGACGACGTTCATGTTGCCATGACGTGTTTTACCTGCCTATTTTGAACTAAAAGTGTGACTCCGGAACAGTTTCCTAAAAAAAAAATGTACCCCCTCCTCCATAACTCACACTTGAGAGTGAGTAAATATGGAAGTTTTGTCCCTTCGCTAGAGGTATAAGTCTTAGCCCTATGGAGAAAAGATCAAATGACCGCGATGGAGGTGATGTAACCCAGATTGTACGAGGAGGCTGCTTTAATAATTGACTTTAGGAAGGCCTATGAGAGAGTAAACTGGACTTTTGTGGTTGAAGTTTTGGTCCACAGAGATGTGTAAAAGTAACCTTTGACACACAACACGCCTAAGTGGGTGGTTAACGGGATGAAGTCACAATTCTTACCGATTACCCGTTCGTTGAGCCACGGTTGTTCACTCACACCTTGGGCGTAGGTGTTGCAGTAGGTGTTTCCTGGAGATAGTACGCCACTCAAAAGAAATTGAGGAGTTGCAAACATACCCAACATAAAAGAGCTTAAGAACCTCAACCCTGGTCGATGACCTCTCAGCAGTCTTCAAAAACACTGAAGCCTCGTTGAGATGTGTGGCGTAGTGTCTAGAAACCTTTGAGAAAGTCTCTTAGGCCCGGTTTGCGATGATCTCTTGCCCATACCTCACCAAAACATGTACCCTTGGAAGACAAACCCATAACGGGGTCAAAATTCCCCGGTGATAATTTTTTGTTCATAGATCATCTCGAGCCTGGGATTAATTCCTTGTGGGTGCATGCATAGGGTGCAATTTGGAATTGTCCTTCAGTCTGTTGTAATTGGGAGCGCGATGCAGACAAAACGAGGTGTGTGAAGAAATACATAAATTAGTTAGTTTTCCTTCTGCGTAGCTTTCCGTTCGCGTCCGGTCGGCGAATGCGAATGCATATGACCGAACGCAAACGCGTCCGAAAATCGACCGAACGCGAACGTTTTTTTTTTTTTTTTTTTTTTTTTTTTTAAATATATATAGGGGTTTGGGGGCATAGGGGGTTCTGCTGGGTGCGAGAGGCCACCCCTCCCCGACTCCCTCTTCACCCGCTTTGATGCAGGGGGTGCAGCACCTCGTGCAGCAAAGCGATGCCGCTACTGCAGGTGTTGTACCTGCTGCGGCGCTGCCAACACCAGCAGCAGCCTGCAGGTATATATCCTGCAGCTACTGCTGCTCCGCACACACACACACGCACACGCACGCACACACACGCACACACACACACACACACACACATACACACACACAGACTTCAAGCTGCTGGAGCGCTTGGTGTAGCAGCACTCGAGCCAACGGAGCTGCTGGGAAGGACCGCCCGACGCTACTCCTCAGTCTCCTCGGCTATGGTGGAGTAGGTAGGTTAGGAGGAGGAAGAAGGGAGGGAGTAGGCTGTGTAGCTATGGTGGAGGAGGAGGAAGAGAAGAGGAGGAGGATGTGGATATGGCGGAGGAGGATGGGGGAGGAGAATAGTAGTAGGAGGAGGAGGAAGAGGAGGAGGGAGGAGGAGAAAGGAGGAAGAAGAAGAAGAGAAGGAAGAAGAAGGGCAAAAAAAAAAACGCGCATGCTGACGTGGCAGCCGCTCGTTCGTTAGAGGAGGAAGACGAGGAGGAGAAGAGAATGGAGAAGGAGGACGAGGAGTGGAAAGAAAGAGAAAAGGTCGAGGAGGAGGATAAAGAGGAGGAGGAGGAGGTGGAGGAGGAGGACAAGGCGAGGGTTGACGAGGTGGCGGAGGAGGATGGGGAGGAGGAGCGCGACCTTTTTTTTTTTGTTTTTTCTGGTCACTTTCCTCCCTCTCCTCGTCCTCTTCTTCCTCCACCTCCGTGTCGTCGACCACCTCCTCGTCCTCCTCCCCCTCCTCCCCCTCCCCCTCCTCCCCCTCCTCCTCCTCTTTATCCTCTTCCTCCTCTGACGAACGCACGGCTGCCACGTCAGCACGCGCGGCTTACAAAAGTCGCACGTGCTGACGTGGCAGCCGTGCATTCGTCAGAGGAGGAGGAGGATAAAGAGGACGAGGAGGAGGGGGAGGAGGACGAGGAGGTGGTCGACGACACGGAGGTGGAGGAAGAAGAGGACGAGGAGAGGGAGGAAGGCGGGGAGGAGGACTTCGATATGGCGGAGGAGGAGGAAGAAAACCACGAGGAGGTGGCGAGGATCGATGAGGTGGAGGAGGATCGGAAGGATGAGGAGGAGGAGGAGAAGAAGGAGGAAGAAAAAGAACAAGCCGAAGAAGTTCGAAGAACATAAAAAGTTTGAAGGAGGAGGAGGAGGACGAGGAAGAGGAGGAGGATGAGGTAGACGTGGAGGAGGAAGACGAGGAGGAAGAAGCAGATGACGAGGAGGAGGAGGAGGTGGGGGAGGAGGTCGACGAGGTGGAGGAGGAAGAAGACGAGGAGGAGGAGAAGGTGGAGGAGGTCGACGAGGTGGAGGAGGAAGAAGACGAGGAGGAGGAGGATGAGGAGGAGGTCGACGAGGTGGAGGAGGAAGAAGACGAGGAGGAGAAGGTGGAGGAGGTCGACGAGGTGGAGGAGGAGGGAGAAGATGAGGAGGACGAGGTGGAGGCCCTGGAGGGGGAGTGGAACGGGGAGGATATGGCGGGTTACGAGTTAGAGGACGAGGATGAAGAAGAAGAGGAGGAGGAGGAGGAGGAGGAGGAGGAGGAGGAGAAGGAGGGGGAGGAGGAGGACGCGACGTGGTTTCTCACCTGGGAGGCGATGGAGACAACGACGACGGCAACGACGACGACGGCGACGGCTCCCCGGGCGGGTGACTGGTGGAGTATGCGCGTTCGAATTCGAACGAGCGGGCCCAGGCTGGCCCCTCCCGCCACGCAGATGCTCCCAGCGCCCCCCCAACCCTGCCAACCAAACCCCCAACCCCCACAACGCCCCCTGGCTGCCCTACCGGGCCCGGTACCGCCCGACGACGGATGCGTTCGCCGGCCTCTGAAAGCCGTTCGTGCGAACATGTTCGCGCCGCGATCGGGCGAACGGCCGAACATGTTCAGACGTTTGGAAAAACTCCGAACGTGTTCGCCGTGCTACGCAGGTTTTCTTTTCTTCTTTTTCTTTTTTTTTGTCTATGCAACTTTCAAAACTCTTTCGGTTATGTTTTTTTTTTTTTTT